GAGAGTTGATTGTTTTAACTTATCAAGGTAATCTTGTTGCCCTTGCCACAGTGATTGGTTCAAGTAACCCTGATAAAAGCAGTAAATTCATGACATGCTCCTGATAAAAAAGAATGACATATAATCCAATTTAGGACTCTCAATATTGGAGGTTTATTGGATTAAAAAATTCCTTGCTCTTCTAAGAGAGCCACTGAAAGTTTCTGTACAACGTAGTGTGGGGATGTGAAATGTAGAAAAATGACAGCCAATTAGGCACCATGAGGGAAGTGAGATTTAGGATGGTCTTCTTACCATAAAAGGCAGAGTAGAGGGGAGGAAAGGAAACAGCCTTCACATTTTTTTAAGTCATTGAATCATACTAACCCTGAATCACCTTTGGATTTTCGGTCAGTAAATATTTTCTGAATTGGGTTTTTTGTTACCTGCAAAATAAAGGGTTCTAACTAATATGAACCAATGAACAAACTCAAAAGACAAACTGGGAAAATATTCGCAATGCAAATGACAAATAGCTAAAATCCCTAAAACAAAGAACTACAAATCAATATGAAAAGAAAATAACTTAATTTTTTTAAAAGGCAGACTATCTCAATAGTTCATACAAGAGGAAATACAAATAACCAACAAACAATATCAATAGATACTTAAGTTCACTATAAATTAAAGAAAAGTAAATAAGAACAAAGGAAAACGATTTTTCACTTGAAAGGCTGACAAAAATGGAAAAAAACATTAATATTACGTAGGACTGAGAATTCATAGGGAGACAGATTCTCTCATAACCTATTGGAGAAAGTGTAAATTGGTGATTTTCAAAAGAGTAATTATATACTTTCTATTAACATTTAAATACTCATAGGTTTTTTGTTTTTTGTTTGTTTGTTTGTTAGTTTTGTTTTGTTTTTTGAGACAGTCTCACTCTGTCACATAGCCTGGAGTGCAGTGGCCAGATCTCAGCTCACTGCAACCTCCACCTGCCAGGTTCAAGTGATTCTCCTGCCTCAGCCTCCAGAGTAGCTGGGATTACATGTGCCCACCATCATGCCAGGCTAATTTTTGTATTTTTAATAGAGACGGGGGTTTCACCATGTTGGCCAGCCTGGTCTTGAACTCCTGACTTCAGGTGATCCACCTGTCTTGGCTTCCCAAAGCACTGGAATTCCCAAAGTGCTGGGATTACAGGTGTGAGCCACTGCACTTGGCCAATATTCATCTCTTTTAACCAACCAATTCCACTCCTGAAATTGTATGCTATGGAAATACCTAAGCAAGTAGGCAAAGATGTATACAAATATCTCACAGTATTGTTTGTAAGAGTGGAATACTGGAAGCATTCTCGATATTCATTAATTCAGAACCAGTTAAATAAACTCATGGTACATTCATGCAATGGAAGAACTTTATGGGCTTTGTAAAGAATGAAGAAATTCTGTATGTTGCCAATGAAATGTATTTCAGATAAATTAAGTAAAAAGTAAAACTGTAATAAATACACTATGATGATAATTCTGTGACAGTATATACAGATTAAAATAATTGGACAGAATATCATCATACTATTAACAGTGATCAGATGTGGGAAATGGGATTAGGATTCAGTGGAGAAAGCTCTAATTCTGTGTGATACCCACATACTCATACACAATACTCATGTACATACACATTGATCACTACCACCAGGACCACATCCTGCCCATCAGGAATTACACTGCCACTTTGGTTTCTCACCTGACTCTTAACCTATTTTCAACCTGTTCCCTACTCTGTGGCATGACAAGGATAGGATGGTACATGTTTGTTGAAAAATTTAAAACCACAATAAAACAGACTAAAAGTTGGCTTGCTTTTTTTATTATCTACTCTATGTTGGCAATTCTAAACAATGCCAATAGTAAAATAGTCCTCCCAGCAAGGGTACTGCTCTCACAGCCCCCACGTTTGCACATGACTGCCCCTCTGAAAATCTCATTCATTTGACCATGAGTGCCCATGTGCCATTTGCTGGATTAGGTGCTGCCCATCTTTGCCTCCCTGTCTCCAGTGTCCAGACCACCAATGAATTCCTACTTTGCTTCTGAGAGTGTTACATGAAAATGCCTTCCCTAAAATCTTGGGAAAAAGCTGAATGGCTGCTTAAAACTGGCTATCTGAAAAGCCTTTGGCTGGTGCAGTCATAAGCCCCTTACAAGTACCCACAGAAGTGGTGCTTCCCCAGCAGGCTTGTCTGGAAAAGGGGATCACTGGAGAGGGCAGGGCCTTACTCCATCAGCTTTAAGAATAAGCACCCCATGGAATAAAAAGAAAGCCATCTACCCAGCATAACCTGAGCCTTGTAACAGAGAGGGGAGTGTGTGGGGAGAACAAGAGGCAGATCCAATTAATTACCCTTAGAAGCAAAGGTAAAAGTTGAAGATTACGAGACCCATTTACAGGAGGAAATAGACCCATCATTGAGCCTAGAGAATGGGAGGATTGTTTAGGGCCAGAAAAGCGTCTCAATGTTCAGATTCCATTCCTTTTCTGGAGCTTTGGAGAGAGGAAGGTCACAGCTTGGGCTTGGAAGTTACACTTAGCCGTGGGTTCAGACCGGTAGGAGGAGGGCTGTTGTCTTGGGTCCCTTGGGTCCGATTCTGGGCCCCCAGGCGGCCCCCACCCTGAGGGGATAGAAGCTTCTATCTTCTCTAGGGGCTGGCCAAGGAGGGGGTGCCCCCTGCGAGAGGCCCATCCATTACCATCACAACAGCTGATGTCACAGACCCCACAAAGCAGCTGGGGCCCCAAATGCAGGGTAACCCTAACCCCACCAGCGATTGAAACAGATAGAGGGGTAGCTCTGCCACACAATGCCTGGCCCTCACTCCTCTCCTCCTCCCCCTTGCACTTCCTCAAGAGCCTTTGTCTTCTGGTCCCTAGGGCCTGTAGCCTCTCTCATTCCCGGCAAACTCCGTCCATTAAATTCAAAATGAGGCCTCTGGGGAAAGGGTTTGGCACTTTCTTTCCCTGCCTCCTCTTATCTCCCACCAGCTATTCCCCATCCGCATCTGTCTGGCAGGCAGATAAGAAGCCCAGCTGTGAGAAAAGGGGCAAGGTGGTGACTGCTTCACATCCTTCCCTGGGCTGTTTTGATTTGCTTTGTTTTTCTGCCTCAGAGCACCCCACAGGGTTACTGGTCTCTCTCTGGACAAGGCCTTGGGCCGGAAGTCATAAGAGTCAGTACTGAGGCTGTGGGAAATGTTCTGGGGTGAGTCAGGTTGTTTGACTGTGATAGCCCAAGTCTCTGTACTGAACTCTGTCATCTCCCCAACCAGCTGGAAGCCTCTGTGTTTTCAGAGTGCAGAGTCCTCCTGTCCCCCCTCAGGACCCCAGCATGCTGAGAGAAAGCCAGGAGCAGTGGTTTCACCAGTCTTTAGGTGTGACATGGGGTTCAGGGAGAGGCTTCTGGAGAAGGTGGGTGGCAGACCAGCAGGGCTTGAAAAATCTATCAGAGCTCTGTGAGGCAGGGAGAAGGGTCACTGCTTAGAGCTTCTGGCTTTTCCCCCACGAGGAGAGCTACATGTCTGAAGGGATTTGGTTATTATTCAGTATTTTAGTCATGAATCTTTCTTAGACATTGATGAAAGCCATGAACCTTCTTTCCAGAAAAAAATGGGTGGCATGCACACATGCATGCACACACACACACACATCTGCGATGGTTCTTAGACACCCAGTTAAGAACTCCCAATAGAAGAAAGTGTAAGTTTTGGCACCAAAGCGAGAGTAGAGAAGGTTCCAGGTAGTGTTGAGGATAGGCTGTCCTCAGAGCCAGGCGGCTGGCTGATTTGAAAGGCGTGTCCCTCTGTTTCATATACAGGTGCTTGGGGGGCATGGCTATCACCAACCCTGTAGTGGACTTGGGGAGAGGATGTCAGGAGGCAGAGAAGCCCTGGACACCTTTGTCCTTTGCTCAGCCATGAGGCATGTTGTGGAATTGGAAGGTAGGGAGGAAAAGGCCTTAAATATTGCATAGGCTATTGCTCGATGTGATACTGGCTAAGCATTTTGACCTTCCACAGCTCATTTACACTTCACAACAAACCTGTAAGTTGGAGACTACCATTCTGCTTTCATGGATGAGGATGATGATATTTAGGGAGTTTGTTGAGTAATTGTTCAAGGTCAGAGGCTAGTAAGTGACACTGCAGAGATTAAAGCCCAGGTCTCGGGCATGAAAGCCCAGTTGCAGCAGTCAGATATCTTACTGAAGAAAACTGTTTCTAGTCTATTCCCATTGCTTGTGTGCTAGCCTGGAGGGCAAGCAGGCTGGGCGTTGCTACACTGGCATTGCTGGTCTTACTTACCATGGTTCCAGATGTGCTTAGGAGGTTCTTCATTACATCCCAGAACAAACCAGGCTCATGCCAACATTGTACTCTAATGTGGTCTGCACCAAAAATACTCATTCCTATGACTTCACAAAATTTGACTTGCATTCCCCTTCAAGGCTCAGCTAATTAACATCTCTTCTGAGCTGTCTTTCCTAACCAGACCCTTTCCTTCACTAGGCCAGGATGACTGTACCCCTCCTGTACTGAGTCTAAAATAGGCTTATCTCTCCCTTTTCTGCAGCCTGGCTTTGTTCTGGATAATCCTACATCACTCCATCTTGACTGGAAGCCTTTCCTTGGCAGGGCTAGTGTTCAACATTGGGTTCCAAGTTGCCTAGCCCAGTGCTCCACTTAACTCAAGCAGTTCAAAAAGTTCTTCTTGATGATGATGTCAGTGTTAGGTGCATAAGCAGGAAAAAAACCTAACCCAGGGGTTAGGGATGTTTCCAAGGCCACAGTACGGCTCCTTGCCTTGTGTGGAAGGTAGGCTTTCTCCTCCCCACTAGGCTCTTGCCTGCTCTAGTCCTCAGTCCAGCTGAGTGGGGATCCAATGTCAGTCATCCAGTTCACCAACCACAGTTGCACTGTGCAAATGGGATGGAAGAACAAAATACCCATGAGACAACACCGTGGCTTTTGAAACAGGTATGTAGGCTTTCTTGTTTAATAGCAGTTAAAAGAGGAAAATGTACAAGAGGAATAAACATGCTCTTTTCACAGAGGAGATTTCCCCTAACCATGCGGCCCATCCATATCAGTAGCTTTACTAGTAAGTTTTAGAGAAAAAAGTTCCCTTCAGAGTTAAAAATGGACTTTCCTAATTTTCTCTATAAATGTGCAACTATCTGTGCAAAATAAAAACGCCATTTCCAACACCTTTGTGAAAAGTATTTGTGAATGCAGGCAAAAAAAAAAAAAAAAAAGAAGAGGCAATTGCAGTCAAGAGAGGAGTCCCGGGAGAAGGGAGGCTAAAGTAGGGGAATTTCTGCAGCAGTCCCTAGAGAGTGTGCTCAGAGGCCTGATGAGGAAGGTCATGGCCAAAGCCAATCTTGGGAGATAAAAGGCCGTGGGTCTGTGACTTGCTGAGTAAGCACTTGTCAAGTGTACAGTAAGGCTAGACTGACTTGGAGGACTGGTATGCAATGAGAACACTGGGCAATGCACCCTGGAAGCTGTACATTCCCTTTGCCAACAGGGTCTCACTTCCTGGTTCCCATTTTCAGGTCCTATTCCTTCTTTCCTGCAACAGCTTCATTTATAGCCTGCTCAAAGAGATTTTTCCTATGAATGTTAAAATGATGCAAGCAGCCTATATTACTGCTGAAACCTAATAGGGTCCCAAACTGGACTGTCCCTTCAGGAACATAGACCTGGTTTCCCCAGGAACTTGGCCAAGGGTTCATCCTGACCAAAAGCCATATAGGCTTCTAGCCATCTGTGTGCTTGCCCTCTTATTGAGGCCCTCCAGGGCTTCTATATCTCTAGGTATTTGAGGCCATATCTGAGGAGTCTGATGGGTATGGGCACACATGCTTTGCACAAGTCCTCTCACGGGTTGGCCCAGCTACAGGTCTATAGACAAAACTAAAAACATTCCACTTTTCTAATTCAAAAACTTGACATTGCTGGTCCCTGTTTTTACCTTCCCTGGCCAACCAAGAGTATGCCTCTACATATAACTTAGTAGCTGCATGTTGCTTTTAGTTAGACAAGGTGAAGGTAGACTAAGAATGGAGAGAAGATATATCAAAGGGTCCATCTTTATATATTGAGCTTGAATAGGCTTTTTCTTTCAGGGGACTTCTGTGCAGAATAACCCCTATTCCTCCACCTTGTTCACCTTTTCCTCTATAGCACAGTTCTTCCAAGGCAGAGGTTTGGGATGAGACCAGCAATGATGATCCTCTAAAGATAAACACTGTGGCATGCTTACATGTCTCTCCATTTCCACTTCAAAGTCTCTCAGCACTTAAAGCTGAAGAGATCTTGCTGCAAAGAGGGTACTAGCGAAGAAAAGTGTTTTTAACCCTTCTCAAGCAATAGAACTTCAGATTAATATAATTGTTTCTCACTTGTTTCAACAAAGATGAGAGCTTGGCGATGCCATTTTGACTCCTGCCTTCTCTTGGCTTATCAAGTTCTGGGTGGCAGTGTTCATCCCCTACCCTCATCCTGAAACCCTGGCCAACCACCCAGCCCTCAGGATGAGCTGCAGCAGGCATCTGTGAGCTCACATGTAGCCTGGTCTCTCCAGCTTTGAGGAAGTTTGTATGTCTGTGTGCACATCCTCTTCCCTGTGACTATCAAGATGTGATAGGATATGGTGAGGTAGAGGGGTTGAGGGTGGTGGGGGGCAAGGAAGTGCTCCCTCCCCAGAAGCAACTCAGTAGCTGACAAAGGTAGTGAAGAATTCTGTTTGATGAGTCTCTCCTCCCACCAATCCAAGCTGGAAAGGCCTGTGTGGCTTATTTGTCATTGTTTGGTGATGCGCAATTATACTCTTGCCAGTAGCCATAGTAGCATCTTTCTGAAGTATCTTAAAGTACAGTTTCCCCTGACTGACTTCATAGCAAAGCTCTTGTATTAAGTCTCAGGAGTCCATCTGGGACAATGAATGCAGCCTCCCAAGCTAAGCTGCTCCAGGCTTTAGAGTTTGGAGGATAGGATTATAGGCAATCTTTCTCAGACAAAGCCAAAGACGGCTTTGGGGATCTCAAAAGAGGATGGGAACCTTGGGCTTCAATGACAAAATAATGACTAAATAAGGATATTATTTAGTGAAGGACAGTTGGGCCAGAGGCAACAAGTCACAAGCCATGGTTGGCTCTGCTGACTTTATGGTAACAATGTCTCCATCCCTAGATGCATCCACTCCAGTCATGGCTGCCCCCACAGTGCAGAGCTGGTGACATTTCCTTGAAGATCATAGCCAAAAAACTGGTTTTAAAACGTAAAGGAACAATCCCAACTAATCCTCAGGTTTCACCTAAGGGTAAGGTAAGGGCCATTTTTAAGCTTCTGAAATCTGAAATATTTCAACTGCATTACTGGAGAAGGCTAAGTCTCAGACGCTCTGTGAAGACCTATGGAAATAACTGTTGATTTATGTCCTGAACCAAATGCGCTGACTGTGAATGAAGGAAATGAGATGAGCAGGGAAGGGATTGGGTCTCTGATTCCATGAAAACTGGCTTTCAAGATCCAGAAAAACTCCTCGGATTGAGACTCAACACTTCTAGAGTTGGGGCAATCTGCAGTTAAAGATGGGATCCAATTATTACTGCTCTCTACTTAGCTGTATCCTGCCCCAGAAAAATTTGCAGTAAAAGCCTCAGGTTAGATCTAGGCTAAAGAAATTGCCAAGCTTGGGGGATTGGAATGAAGCTGTCATCTTGCCATATGACATGTTTGTTCACAAGCCAGTGAAAGTCAGCAGACTGAGGAGATGACCCTCCAGAGCTCCCCTTAGTGTATTAAATAATGTTTGCCAGGCCCTTTCCTTGCATTGAGAAGAATCAGCCTCATCTATGTGGTGAATGGGCATCCAGGAGTGAACAGGACATATTTTAGTATCCTTTTGCTTATTCACTCTACCTCCCAGTGCCAGATACCCATTTTGTGTGGTTCCTAAGCCCCAGACCTAAGCTTTAGAGCCATGGATGGAAGGTGGTTCATCACACTGGGATTGATGATACCACCATCTCTAAGATAACACAGATAGTGTAGTAATAACTTCCCCTGAGTCCCAGCCTAGCAACATCTCATGTACTTGCTTATTCTTGTGCCTCTTTTACTATAGGGAAATGTTATGTGAACACTGCACAGGGGTTAATAAAAAAATACATATGCTCTCTTTGAAGAAGAATACACAAATGCAGGGTCAGCTGGGGTTGGATCCCAGACAAAGGGGCTGCAGCAAGTCGCCTCTGTAGGTCCAGGCCACCCTTCATGAGTGGTGGCTGCTGATGAGTCCTCGGAGCTGCTTGGCCACAGTGTCAATGAGTTTCTGCTTGTCTCGCTCATTTTTCCGAAACTGTGCAAACATGTTGTTCTTGCGGCTAGTATCCTTCATCCTAAACAGAGAAGGAAAGAAAAAGGGCAACGTGTTTGAGGAAACAATGGTGGAAGGAGAACCTGCAGGAGGCAGGATGGCAATGCATCTTAACCACTATCCAGAGCAATGAGAGCGTCCAGAATATCTCCAGTGTCAGGCCCACACTCACCTACTCATCAGGAAGCTGGCATTCTGGCACCTACATCTCTCAACTTCAGTCACCTTTGGAAACTGGTCAAGACCTAGTTTTGGAGGGGCCAATCTCCTTATCCCTTATACCTGCTCCACCTAATTCATTCCCTTCTCTCAGCAGGTATGTGCCTGCTATAGGTGTGTGGGACATGGAACAGCTCTGCTGGTCAATAAACCCTTATAGAATGTCTAGGATCCACTCATTACCTCATGAACCTACTAAATCCTGTTGGGACCTTTGAGATAACATTTGAAAGGTAAAGCAGGAAAAGTGTTCTTAACTAGCAATTCCAAGAGAACATGAATAACCAAAGGCCACTGTGTATTTCTAAACCTCACTCTAGCTGGCTACTCCATCCCATCCCTAACAAAACTAAGGGCTTGACTGACCTTTTTCCTTTTGTCTCAGGGTAATGGCACATAGGCGGTGTGGTGACTAAGAGAGTATGGTTACTTAGGAAAGCATGTGCCAAAGGGCTGGGCCATCCTCTCACTCCACAAACCAGAGCTTTTTACATGAAAAGCCCTTGAGTCCTCAAGGGCTGTCTGTACCCCCAGACCTTTGACCTTTGGGTTATGCTAAAGCTTCACAGATGGCATATTTCTAGAACCACGGGCAATTCTGGCCAGTGGTTCTTTCAGGTAGACAGCCCTAATGGGGAAACATGGACAAGAAAGTCAAGACTAGGTTGAGATGGTCACAGAACCCCAAGTCTAAGCAATTGTGACAGAATTCAGGAATTTGCTATTCCCTGCACAGGGCTCACAACCCCGGACATATATTGGTGGCCACTAACTCTTGTCCTAGCCTCTGCACACCAGACCCATATCCCACAGCTAGTTCCAGTGTTAGACAATTGAGAACAGTGCCAAGACAGATTTCTTTCTGGGATAGGGCCAGTCTTCACCAGAGCTGGGCCAGCCCTCTGACTTCACTGCTCCCTGGGCTGTATGGAGACAGGCTAAAGGGAAGGAACATGGCACCAAGCTATAAATTGCCCCCAGGCATATTTCCCAGGGGACTTTGGTCAATCCTGCACCACTTTTTCCCCCCCACTGTGGGTGGCCCTTTGCAGAGGAGCAGATTAGAGGCCAGTGAGTCAAAAGGCCAGAGATCCTACAGGGGCATTTATGTTTGGTATATATGATATAAATTTACAATATATGTATTCTATAAGGGCATTATATGTGGCAAGAAGTTTCTAATGAGCACCACAGCTGTATGGCTCTGGCTGACAGTGATAGCCACAGACTAATTAAGAATTCTCTCACTGATCTAAGCTCAAAGGCCTTCAGGCTGGAATTACTCATCAAGCAAACTCAGAACACTGAATATAAGGTACGACCACCCACATGTGGAGGCCTGTGCTTGGAGGGGAAGAAGAAGGGGAAGTGACTGCACTAGTTGAAGAGAAAGAATGAGGGTCCTCAAGCCTCTGATAATTACTGTATTTGTTCCCTTATATACTAGTGGCACAATTATGTTTGTGGAACTGGCCTGGTTTTAGATAGTCCCAGGGAAAGATTCCTTTTCCTCTGCTGGGTATACTATATATCTAAACATTATCAACAACACAAAACAAACAAAAAGAAATGAAGAAAACCACTTCCTATATTCATAGGACATTTAGTTTAATATCTTGCATTATCATTAATTTCATGACTCCTAGAAGCAGCTGAGAGACAGGCAGCCCGCTGGCTTTCAGCTCCCACAGGGAGGCTCCTGTAATATCTAGGAGAAAGAGGGTAGTCTTTGGCCTCAGAGGCTAGAATTTCTTGGTCGTTAAGACCTGGAGTTAGAACAAGGCACTGTAAAGATAAACTCAAGTACCCTGAGGGCTAATGGTGGCCTGCTGGTTTCCACTCAGGAATGCTCCAAAACCAAAAGTCAGCCCTCCCACCTTCCATCCCATTCTGAAAGCCCAGTATCCTGTTCTACTTTATTAACAGCTATGGCCACCTCTCAGTGATGCAGGGGTCACTTCTTTTCCCTAAATGTCTTTAGCAGGTCTTTGGGTCTTTCCGTTTCACCCTGCTAAGAAGTGCCAGGTTGAAAAGGAGAGTCAAGATCTGATGGTAGAGCTGGCTGTGGAAAAGCAGGAATAGGTCAGGTAAAGGGGTCAATTCCTATGAGGCTGGGAGACACGGATTGTAGTGATCTGGATGCCCTTTGATCTACTGTGTTTGGAAGAAGCTTTTAAACTCTTCTGATTGCTAGGGCTAAGCACATAGCTTCTTTACTGGCCAGCGCTCCAGAATGGTAGGGAGAGGCTAATTATTTTCAACTATTGTTGAGCCATAGGAAGCGAATGAGCCAGTATTTCCTAGATCCAGAGATTCTTGGGAACAGAAGAGTAAAGGACTGCTGAGAGAAGTAAATAACTGAAGGGAATCCCAGAGCACATTTGAAGGATACATAATGACCATTAAATATGACCATTTAAGCACCAACTCAAAGGTCAAAATGTTCCCTTCTTTCACCTTAGCACCAAGAACTGTGGGATTAAGCCTTGCCTCTAATAAAGGGTCTTCTATAAGAGATGCGGGTTCTAGATTTTAAAGCCACCAAGAGGTAGGGGAGGCTGCTGAGGAGCTCCCTTTGGTCAGGGCTTTATTTCAGGCCCCACACTAGCAAGAATATTGAGTGTGCCAAGAGGTTGAATGGGAACAACCCTTTACCTGGCACAATGGGAGAAAATCTCTGCTGCCACTCCCAGCCCCAAAGGAATTAGTAAGCCAAGGGTCACTCTAAGGGCCAAGGATAGAGAAGGCAGCCAGCCAGTTGGCACCAGGCTGGTTTAGTAGATTAGTATGTCAGGGTGGGGACAACTCAGAGGCTAGGGATTTTAGTGTAGTCATTAGTGTCAATGAGGAAACCAGAAGGACTTGCCTCAAAGTGATGGAAAAGGCCCAAGTGAATAATATACTTACTCTCTAGATATCCTAGGGAGGAAGGTCAGTGGGAGAGAGAACCATGGGAAACAAAGTTAAAATGGAAACACCAATCTCTGACGTGGTCAGGAGAAAACTGTAGTCTGAGTTTTTAGTCTCTTGGCTCCAAATACATACCCCTGCATCATGCTCTTGCCTACCCTTCACCTCTTCCCCTTTTCTCCCCCTTTCATATTGCATAGTAGGAAGAATAGACCTTGACCTCTCCTTCTGCTTAAGGCTCCACTCTGACTTCCTGGACTCTGAGTCTTGCCTTCCTAGGATTTGAGATGTGGCTGACTGGCCATATATGTAGACTTCCTACACTGCCTAGAGGCAGGGCATTCTTCCAAGTAGCTGGGGATTAACTAGTTTCTCAGATTTCAAGAGAAATCTGCCTTTTTATGTGGGTCTTGGTCTCTGACCTGCCAGCTCTCTAAGAGATTAGCAAAGCCAGAGCCAGGCTGTAATACATAGCATTTCCCAGCTTCTGGGTGACATATTGGTTAGCCCTGAGATTTCCTGGAGCTACCTAACTTACTTTCAGTGGTAGCACCTCTGCTTCAGAGAGGCTACAGTTCTGTGGCAGGGAATCCTCTGCAGGCTAGTGACTGCCTAAGGCAAAAATCAGACACATTCTCCAAGACAGCTTTGTTGGGATAGTCAGTACAATAAAGCTCAGTCTGGCAGGGGCTGGGAGCTGGGAACAGATGAAGGTTTCAATAATTCTCAATAATTTCCAGGGATTCTCTACTAGGAACCAGAGAAGCCATCTGTTCTGTGGAGTTGCACTATCCATCATCATACCCCAGATGACTAGGGCAGCCTCATTCTGTTCACCAGGCTGGCCTGAGCCCCAAAGCAAGCCATTTTTCTTTCTTCTCTTGCCATCTCTAGTAAGAGACACTAGTAAAAGACCCATTAAACTAGAAGGTAATGTCAGAGTCCAATTCTGATCCATACTTGGCCTAGCTTGTTGGGGGCTCAGGAATGAATAAGCCACAAGAGGAAGACTGGCCTGCCAAATCCAGTGATTGAGATTGTTGACAGCACCCATGGCCTATGGCAACTTCCAGAACAAGGCTATCTTTCAAGATATTGACAGTGGCAAAATTATCTTCTATGCCAAACCCCATCCCTGTCTCCCCACCTCCCAACACAGACCACTGGACTAGGTACTCACTTCTCTAGCAGGGTCAGAGCAGTCACTGGGTTTACCCGGAGGTACTTGCAGTTGGGCTGACCATAGTCAGCAAGGTAGGTTGACCAATCCCACTGGATGAAAAGATCCAAAAGCTGTAAAATATCCAAACCCCACCCCAGGGATTAGTCAGACAGACAAGACAAACCAAGATACCAGAAACTTCATCATCCTTCACTACCAGCTAATAAATTAGATACATAAAAATTAAAATATAATAAGAAAAAGAACAGCTTCAGACTATTCTTTCAACCAAGAAAATAAATGAGTAAACATTAGATGGCAGACTTATCTCTGCCATAAGCAGTATGGAAATGTTGCTAAGACTATATGCCAGCAGTTAGCTCTCAGAGGCAACCCTGTAAAGAAACTAACACTAGACTGAATCAAATATGATAATAATATCATAATAATCATTCACTTACTCATTTAATAAATACTTATCAAATGCCTTCCACATGCCAAGAACCATTCTCAGTATTTAACAAAGAACAGATAAAGGTGGATGTAGTCCAGTGCCACATATGCAATTGTTTGAACTTCAAGGTTAAAAGGTCTGGGCTCAAGTATCAGTTTTTTGACTTGCTGCACTGACTTAGGTAATACAGACATATATACATGCCTATATACAAATAGGACACACAGACAACACAGAAACACTGAACCAAGGCATAAATGGATCATGTAGCATTTCTAAGAGGCAATATGTGTTATGCCTATGCAGACACAGGCTGAGAAGATGAAATCTGGGCCAGAGTAGATTAGCCCATGATTGAGGACACAGAGTCTAGAATTGGGTTATCAGTGTTAAAGAGAAGTGCCAAGAGCTAGATGTGTGAAAAGACAATGAGAGCTTTCTGAGGGTGAGCTGAGTTCTGACACTGGGGGAGATTTTGACTGAAAGAAGCTAAACTTTTGTCAAAGGCTTTCCTTCCCAGCCAGTTTTAGCCTCAGACATCACACTAACAAATATTCAAAAATTGTAACTAAGTAAAACAAACAAACAAAAGCTTCTAGAAGGGGCACAGTCCCAGACTCACATCACTGCATAGAGGGAGAACCCTCACAGTACTTTTGACTCAAGACATTCTCCATTTCTCCCTTTCCAGGAGATAGGTAACTGCTGATGAGGACAAGTAGATGGCTGCCTGTGCAGAACAAAGGCAGAGAGGCTGAGAGTGCAGTCATATCCAATGACAGAACCTGGGCTCTAGGCACACCTTCCTCCATATCTGTCTTCACTATGCAGCTGGGCAAACAGGTAGTATGGGCCTTGCCCTATTTGGCCAAGTCTCCACTTCATCCAGTCTCTTAGAATAGCAGTTATGAACTTCCTGAAGCAGGATGGGAAATGGCTGAAGTCCCAAACCTAAAACTGAGAAAAGCCCTTACACCCTCAGCCAAGAAAGGGATTTTAGAGATGAGAGAAGCAGTCGGGGAGAGACAGGCACGCTGCTTGGTCTGGGCCAGGATGGTCCCAAACGGCCCCTCAGGCCATTTTCAGGTCATGCCTATTTTCACTGGCAAGTTAAAAGGCTTCTACCACTTCTTTCTGCTGACCCAAGGCCTCAGAGAGTTCTCCTTTAGAAGAGAATTTCTCCTGACTTTCTACTCTAGCGTCAATATTTCTGTCCTATGGTCTTCAAAGACCACTCAAGACAGCTCCTCTTTACTTGCTTCCATGACAGACACTGAGAGTACCCCTTGTTCTAAAGTTCTTCCAGTACTATGCTTTACACATTTCACTATGTTTTCCCGCAACTCCTAGGGAAAGAACTATGAAAAAATATAGCATTTTTTTCAATTAAAATTTTTTTCACAAATTAAAAAAAAACACAAAACCTAGGAAGCCTTTTACTATTTGCCTATTAAGGAGCTGATAAGAAAAGTGAATGAATATGAAAAAAGTCTAATTGGAAAAACTGGAAAATCATTTCTTAAAGCTATTTTAGATACTACTTTTTCAGCATACGTGGACATATACATGCATGTATTACCTTCTTTTCAAATGAATTCCTAATTTCTGTGCTGGAATTAATGTATTAGTACTTCTGATTTATTGCTAATACTACCATGTATTTCTGGTTAATGACACATGGGAAGTCACTAGTGGACAGTGGAGAGAAGTTCATGGCTTAGCTCTAAGTTATGGGATCTTTGGGGTGTCGCTTTTCTGGCCGGAAACCTGTGGCTGGTGGCACCTTTGCCTTGAGTTTTGCTCTGGCCCACTGGGTTTGTTACACCCACTTGGCCTGGCAGGTTGAGCTCATGCCTGCCAGGGACACTGGAGTCAGGTGTGGAGCAGTGAGGGGTGTGTGTGAGTGTGGGGTCCAGTCACTGCACAGTCAGACGCGCTGGGTGCTGCCATGGGGTGGGCAGCTCCAGGTGCCAGCATAGACACCAATTCTCTGCGCGAATGCAGCTGGACCAGGTGCACTGCAAGCAGCTTTCCTGGATGGCACCGGGGAATGTGGCAGCACCCAGAAGCTTGGAGATGCCAAGAACCACAGGGCCCCAAAGAGGGAGTCACAGCTCTGGCTCAGGGAGCTCCCATGTCTGGGCTCTACAAAGAGCTGCAGCTCTTCTCTCCTGCTCTTCACCCACAATGTGGCGAGCAGGGGGTATGTTTCAGCCCTGTTTGTGTTACCCCAGCTCTTTTAGCCTCACCATTCAGTAGGTCTCAAGTTCTTGTCCTGCAACCAGGAAGAATGAGGTACACACACAGGTGGAAGGTGAGCAAAATGAAGAGATTAATTGAGCAATAGAACAGCTCAGAGATGACCCACAGTGGGAAGCTCCTCTCCGAAGCCAGGGTGTCCCAGCAAGTATTCAGCTTCTAGCAGAAAGGGTTGCTCCTCTCTGCAGGCAGGTCGTCTTGATAAGTGTTCAGCTATCAGCAGAGAGAGTGGCTCCTCTCTGCAGCTGGTCGTTCTGCTGTCTCTCTGTCCTCTCCTCTGTTCTGGCTGAGCTCAGGGCTTTTCTGGGCCTCAGAGGGGAGGAAGCGCATGCCATCTGGTCCACGGGCAGCCAAGTCCCTACTCTGGTCCGCAGGACTGGCAGCTTGGCCACCAGCCTTCAGGCCTTCTGTGGCCTGAAGGTCAGGCCTCACTGGTGACCTGCCCCCTTCTGCCCAGGAACCTGTCTGCTTTCTGCTCCCATTCATGGCACCTGAGGTCAGCCCCAACTTTGCTCCAAGACTGGAGCAGCACTGACAACAGGGAGAAGCCATGCAGTGGGAGCAGGCACTTAAAAGCCTACAAGAGCAGGGAGGGCCTTCCCAGGCCCCCAAGAGTGCAGGGACGCCTGGGTCCACAGCCATGGTTTGGGTGCCTGCAGTTGTGCCCAGGAGGGTAGGGCTCCTGCCTGCTCTCTGGCTCCCACCAGCTCCATGGAGCATGCAGCCCCGGTCTTGCCTCCCTGCTGCAGCCAGCGTGATGGCAGTGGTGGGCCATTTAGGGCAGCCACTACCATCATAAGGATTTCCATTTTTGTCTTCCTGCCAAAGTCAATGCCAATGGTGAGCCTAAGAGCTCTGGAATGACAATCTATCTAATTTATTCCACTACAGTCATGGAAGCTACATAAGTCTATTAAGTTCAACCACCATGAGCCTATAGATCACACTCTGGGTCATGTTGCTTCCCACAGTCTTTTAGGGTGGCCTCAAGCTAGGTCTTATGGCCTTCTCTGAGACAGATGGACAGAGAGTGAGGGTATTTAACTAAGTGAGCTGCTTGGAGGCACACTTCTACTGGATTCCACAGAACAGTGTTAGAATGAACAGCCAAGAAAACCAGCAGGCCTATTTATCCATTTAGTACTTTGATTTCCAGACTGACTTTCAAGGTCAATCAGACCCTCCCAGCCGATTCTCCACGTACAACAACCTTGTTAGACTGCTATAAATTCTCCTGCAAGAACACTCAACTATCACTAATGACCACACTAGTGATCATCACTAGTGACCACTAATGTTTCTTTTTTATTTTTATATCTTTCATTTGGAAATATTTCAAATTTATCAGAAAGTTGAAAGAATAAGCATAGTATAAAGAGCAACATATTGCTTCCATCCAGATCCATCCACTGTCAATATTCTACCCCATGTGCTCCAGCACTTGAATTCTTTCTCTTCATATACATACACCCATGCATGCACACATATGTTATTTCTTTTCTTGAGTTTCTTCAAAGTAAACTGGGACTTTATTCCCAAATACTTCAGTGTTCCTAAGGATTAGGAATATTTTCTTATATAATCACAGAATAATTTTCAACTTCAGTTTAATGTTGATATGATCCATATTAAATTTTGTAAGTTGACCCAGTAATATCCTTTATAGCCTCTTTTATTTTTGTTCTACTACATGATATAATTTTAGGACTGAGTATTACGTTTAGTTGTCATGTCTCTTTAGTTTCCTTTAATCTGGAATATTTATACAACCTTTCTTTTTCTTATATGATATTGACATTTTTGAAGAATATAGTTTCCCTGCCTCCATTTTTTCCCAGTTTGGTTTTGTCTAGTGGCTTCTTATAAGATTCAAGACACGAATTCTTCAGCAGAATACTACGTAAGTGATGCTATGTCCTCCTCAGGGTATCACCTCTGGAGGCATACGATGCTCATTTTTCCCTCATTGATGATATTAATTTTGATCACCTGATTAAGATGTTGTCTGATTTCTCCCAACATCTAGTTATTACGTTTTCCTTTGGAACTGTGAAGATTTAAGACATTCAAATACACTGTTATCCAGTGAGGATTCTTGCCTAACCCAATGTTTACTATCATAGCTTCAAAACTGCTGATTATGTCAACACCATCCTTCCTTGCACATTTATGAGTTGTCACTCATTCTACTGTAAGCAAGTGCTCTCTCTTCCCCACTATTAATTTATCCATCTATTTGTTATTAGCACAAACTCACCACTGTGCCCTTCCCCTCCCCTTCCCTTCCTTCCTTTCTTCCTTCCTTCCCGTCTTTTCTTTTCCCTCTCTCTCTCTCTTTCTCTTTCTTTCTTTCTTTTTCTTTCTTTCTTTTTCTTTCTTTCTTTTTCTTCTTTCTCTTTCTTTCTTTTTTCTCTTTCT